TTTGAAGCAATCACCCCTGCTGCGCGGAAGAGACATCAGGGGCGAGGGCTGCAGGCAGGGAGTTACCATCACTTTCATGGCCCTTCCAGCACTGCCCTGCAACAGGAGCAGAGTAAACTTTCTGAAGGATTTTGTAGAGAAGATCTAGGCAATCATACTCTAATATCAAAGGCTGGACTGTGCTCGTGGGACTGCAGGAACCACACGTCTGGCTTTTCTGCTAAGTGTACGGCCCTGTGCAGGACAGATAGCACTTCCATCCACAGCTGTGGGGCTGCCCTGCACCTCTGTCTTTATCTGTCATGATGGGCCTTGCCCAGAGGATTATGTGGAGACCGAAGGACATGATGTGTGTGAAGCGCTTTTCCTAGTGCTTGGCTCCTAGCATATCGTCGCTTTTCTTCTTCGTCTTCTACTCACCCCACAGGCACAACCTTTCCTAATAAGCAATTTGGCCCAAATATTCATCATCTCAGGTGTTTGATGGAGACAATGAGCCCAGATAGCAGAGCTACTCACATGTGTGGACATCCTTTACCATGTGCATTTCCTGTTCAAAACTTGAGACGGGGGAGTAGGCCAGGGAGGGGAGCGGCGTGGGGTAAATAAGTCTTTTAAAAGCATGCCCCTTAATGAGTAACTACATTTGATATGTCATCAGTTCAACAAATCTGTGTGGATGTATATATGTGTGTATCATCAGTGGATCAAATGAATAGATATAGTCAATGGTATCCTTTTGGTATGTAACCAACTAGCCTGACAGGGTGATGTCCAACCATCTTTTTCAGATCTTAAAGCTAATAGAATTACTAAGAGGTCACCCAAGCCAGCACCTTCATTCTGTAGATGGAAAACTTGAAAGTCAAATGGTTTAAGGCTATCCCCCTAGTTGTTTGTGGAGTTGGGCATAGAATTCATTTTGGTGGATTCCACATTGCGCAGCTCTCTTATCCTCGCCCTTCACTGAGCTTGGCCTTTACGGTGGCTCTGACACGTCCTGGTCCAGGAACCGACAGATCTCAGTCATCACCCAGCCCTGCTGCTCACTAGTGAGTGGACTTCGGCAAGTTCTCAGCCCCTTTAAGCCTTGCTTCCCTCACTTGTAACCTGGCAATGGTACCCACGTCATAGGGCACTTCAGGGGATTAAATGATGGGATGCAGTCAAGTTCAGTTGTTTTTTTCCCTGAACTGTAAACCTTCAGTAAATGACTGTATGCTTATATAATGTAATGCCTTGAAAACTTATTTGATTAAGAAATGTACATTGTAAAAAAAAAAAGTCGTAATATGAAGATTCACATACAGAAGAAAATGCAAAGCACCCATGACAACAATATCCAGAGATAACCTCAGACTTTTCTTAGGCATTTTGCGCATTTAGTTTTGATTGCACTTACTCTAGGAAAAGAACAGCATGAAATTCTATGTCAGTGATCCATTAAAGCAAAACCTTTCACATTAAGCATGAGAGAAGAGGCCATAATGGAGTCTGATTATTATTCTTTCAAAAGAACAGAACATTACTACAGAGTTAGGCGAGTTACACCGAAGGACACACATATATACGTTAAATCTCCTACTCATTTTTGCTATAATTTTCTTCTTTTCCCCCTTTAAATTCCAACTCGAGCTGTAGGCATCTCTATAAGCAGTTTCTTTTTCCTTAACTGTAATGAATTGTCCATCCTACGGAACTTGAAAGTAAGTTTGAGGTCTGTTTAGGAATTTTGCTTTGATTCACATCGTATGTGATGAAGCTGCAAAACCTTCTCAGATCAAAGAAGTTTAAATCATTGGGAGGAGGAATGTCAAAAATAAAATTGGCTAATTTTAGATCTCCTTGCTCAAGAAAAGTGATTCATTGTGCACTCTGTGTGGAAGACGCCTTAATGTTCCAAAGGTCTAGCCTGGCTGGTCTTTTCTGTTTCTGCTGCCTCTTCGTTTTGTAGCCTGAGTCTAGTTCACTAAAAAGATTAGTTCCTGTAGAAGTTTTGCCTTCAGATCGAAGGTTAATAGAGTCATGGTTCTGCTCCTCTATCGATTGTTGTGTGCGTATTGCTGTGAACTCAGATGGTTTTCAATTTTTAGACTTACTGTGGTGATTTGTGGACTATTTTAAGGCTGTCCAGTCCCTTCCCTGGCAGAGGGCTTGATGGAGGACTTGCCAGCTTGCAGGAGTCTGGTAGAGGTCAGGGTAGACAGTGGGAGGGTCTGGTGCCACAGATTCTGTCCCAAGGAGAGCACCAAGGGCACAGCTGGAAAAAAGCATAGCCAAGGTAGTAGGTGAAGGAAGATGACCACAGGCAGACCTAGGACACTAGGGTTCTGAGAGCCAGGAAAAGAGATGGTAAGAATGAGTTGAAATAGAAGAGCTTCCAGATCAGGAAGACAGTGGGCTCATTCTGGGGTCCAGCTTTCTTGGTAGCATGCTGTGCTGGGTGGTTAGACTCACTGAAGGAGCCAAGGCAGAGCAGACAAGACAGTTAGGGATGAGGAGGGTGAATTATTAGCCCTGAGCAAGATTCTCCCTGAGTGTTATTAAGGATGTTCTTATTTAGGAATATATGTTGCTCATTTGAGGGCTCTTTGTTTCAGTAGGTGGAGTTATTGCAGGTGCTGGCTTTCTTCCAATCCTGGTTAACCCTCCGAGGTTTCAGAAAGAAATGTGTTTTTTTGTTTTTTCCCCCTCTCCCTGTGGAGTAATTGGTTTATGTATAATTTAATTATTTCGATAACCAGTTGTCCTATCACTGTGTACAAAAACAGCCACCCTAAAAACCCACCGTACTCCTGTGTGAAGACGTTCAGAATTGGTTTCTCCTCCATTGCGGGTGAATGTGTAACGCTAAGATTTCTTGCTAAAAGCTAAAATAGGCAGACTCCATTTCCCATTCTTTCAGGGCTGCCCTTGAAATCTTGCCCAGTATTATCCAGTGATTTAAAGTAAGAAGAACTGAGATAAAGATCAGTTTCAAAGAGGAATTAAAGTCTTGAGTGTTCTGTAGGGAAGCCATATTTTAGAAGATCACCTTGGACTGTATTTTCCTGAGAGTAAATTTCAGAAGATTCTTCTAAGGGCAGAGGAGTGAATGCACTCTCCTTTACCTGACCTCACTAATGTCTCTCCTTTGGGTTGGTTTGCTTTATTCATAGTCGTGTTTCATCTTTCCCTATCATGCTTTTCGTGAGGACGTTTTTTATCCTGACCTGCTGCTGTGTACATATTGTTATTTATTTAGTGTGGGGTTGACTACAAATCTATATACCCTGCTTGCGCATCCTCATGCTTTTTTCTGTGCGGTGGAAGGTCTCACAATCAGGTCTACAATCCATTTGAAGCCTTCATGTTACAAATATGCTTTAAAGCACTGTCTTATTGAGTCCATTTACAAAAATTTAATTTGAATTAAATAATTCGGTCCGGCCTGAGAACACAAGGCACACGTGTGTGTAGTGTGTAAGCTGCTGGGACCAGCCGAGGCTTCATCCCCTTGGCGGCTTCTTTTCTGCTGCTTCTCTCTCACTTTTCTCATTGGTGTCAATAGAGTGCTTTTCCTTGGTGATTTTGCCTTTCATGGTGATGTTGCTGTATAAGGGCTCAGTATTTAGACATAGGCATTCCAGGCAAGTTAGTATTCTCTTTTTTTTTAATGAGTAAAAACCACTGCAACTTTTCTTATGAGGAGTCCTTTTGAGTCTCTGAAGTCATTCACAAATATGGTCAAGTCTGATTTCACTCCACAAAAAGAAAACAGAATATTGTGTACTTTTCCTATCCAGGAATTCCACCCTCCCCCAAGCTTTTGCCCTCTGCTTGTTACTTTCGGATCATTTGCAGTGGCAGAGCGCTTTATGCAGATTGCCCAATTATTTCCGGTCCTAGTCAAAATCACCTTGCTTTAAGAGATATTTCTAGAGTAGTGAAACTGCTTTGTTTCTTTGAAAACTCACCAGGAGCTGGAGGGCCAACCAGCTTGTGTGACTGTGCATTGCTGACCCAGGAGCTCTGACCTCACACGCCTCCCTGCCTCCCCCGTGATGCTCCAAGGATGCCCCCGCCCTCTTGTACTCTTCATTTTTATAGGTCCACCTGGCCCCAGAAACATTATTTTCAGCACCTGCTTATTAGCCATCTTTAATAACCTCATATATTAATAAACGGGTGACATGCTATCTTGGAATTATATGGCCAGTTTTGGCAAAGAGGTCAGACATCAGTATTGCTCAGTGCATTTTTCATTTACTAGAAAGTGTGAATTTGCCTAATTTTCTTTGTTAACCTTTGTCGAAGTCATTCCTGTAAATTTCCTCCTCCCCCAGCTCTCTAAACTCCAGTGCATTGACAGAACAGTCCATCTTCCAGAATGGCTCTCACAAGATTGCTGAGGCATTTTTTTTTCTTTCATCTCTGTTTCCAATAGGTTTTATCACCCTGTTCCTTGAGTTAGTGTGAAGTGAACAGCCAGAAAATGAGGGGAAGCCTTGATCAGTTAGCCTTAAACTCTCGGTTGCATTCCTAATTTGGAGATACATGATGGAGTTCTGTGGCTCACGTGCCTTGATGTTTCCGTGCCCGCCACACCACAGGAGATAACGAGTCATTCCTGTCCTCTTGCTAAATAGTACAGAGGCACCTTTGCATTCCCATTCCCTGGCAGCAGTGTTCAAGTCTTTTAACTTTCTGCTGCAAGACCCCCTCTCCTTCTGTGTAGAAGTTCAAGGATTAAATGATTAAGGAATCGTCACTGTGAAGCCTTTGAAGGACAGATGTGAAGTGTCATGATACACTCCTTGGGACCTTGGCTAATTTGTTTCATCTGAGAGGGGCCCTGCCTCTGGATGGCTAGCTAAAAGTGTGGGAGTCTGACCGATAATAGTAATAACCCACTTAACCCACTTCCTGTGTACCAGGAACTGTGCTTGGAACTTTGCACAGACATTAATTCATTTACAGATGCACCAGCATACTTAGTGTCTCTGATTTCTATTTTTCAGGTTGAAAATTGGTGTCCTCATTTACCTTGGAGAGCAAAAAATCCCTACGAAGAAGCTGATCGTAATTCATTGGTAAGTGATTTTGGAAACCTCTTACTAGGCTTTTGATTTGAGTATGATGTCAAGTGATACATGTGGAGTCTTCTGCCAGCTGTAATCTGAAATAACGGTAAACGGAAGAACTTCTATCCCCAGCCCTGTGGAAGTCTGAGTGACCAAATCAGTCAACCAGTTAGCATATGTTTATTTATTGAGCAGTTCTCTGAGGGTTCCTACGTGATGGGCTACTGATACGAATAAGACCTGGTGCCAGACGTGGAGGCGCCCAGTGATTTAATAATGAGGGTGATGGTTGTAAATAATGACTGTGTCAACACTGAAACATAGGCCCATGGAAATTAATAAAGAAGTGGCGATCTCAGCCTGCATGGGTCAGGAGAGCATGTAAAGAGAAGATGACCTTGGAGTTGAATTTAAAGCGCTGAATGAGTTTATACCAGGTCAAGGAGAGAAAGATGTCTCTGGTGTCAGGGGGACAGGTGCCTGTACAAGAGCCTGGCATTTTCAGGGAGTAGAGCCTGGTTCAGTGGGACAAGGCCATAGGGGTTTGGATGAGCTGGAATGAAGATGAAATGGGAAAGGTAGGTAGGGGCTGAAAAAGCTTTGTATTAAAAGCTCAAGTCTTTATTCTTCACCCCAGGGATCAGCTAATTTTTTTCTGTGACAGGCCAGATAGTAAATATTTTCATCTTTGCAGGCCAGATCTCTGTTGCAACTAGTCAGTTCTGACCCGTGGCACAGGGCAGCCCTAGGCAATGTGTAAATGAGTGGGCATGACTGTGTTCTGATAAAACTTTACGTAGCGAGGGGGATTTGGTCCAAGAGCCAGAGTTTGCCGAGCCTCGCTTAGACCATGGGATTCTTGGGAAACTGTTGAGTCAAGGACATGATCAGATGAGTGTTAGAATGAACTATGGTAACTGCTGAAAGATGGATTTAGTGAATGTTTTATTTAGATGTTATGTGAAAAAAATACTAGTGTTATTATTTTTCTCTGTTATTTCAATTGCTGGTTGCATCCAGCTATCTTAGAAAAATAGTCTTCCTGACTTTTAAGTTATTTTGGCTTGAATTTTTTTTTGTTTAATTTTTGACTGTGTTGGGTCTTTGCTGCTGCACGTGGGCTTTCTCTAGTTGCGGTGAGCGGGGGCGACTCTTTGTTGTGGTGCACGGGCTTCTCGTTGCGGTGGCTTCTCTTGTTGCGGAGCATGGGCTCTAGGTGTGTGGGCTTCAGTAGTTGTGGCACACGGGCTTCAGTAGCTGTGGCTCGCGGGCTCTAGAGCACAGGCTCAGTAGTTGTGGCGCACGAGCTTAGTTGCTCCCGGACCGGGGCTCGAACCCGTGTCCCCTGCATTGGCAGGTGGATTCTTAACCACTGCACTGCCAGGGAAGCCCTTTTGGCTTGAATTTGAAATTTTATTCAGTTACTGTGGGAAAATGGTATTCCTGGCTTTTAAATTCCTTAGAAAATAATAAACTTCTGTTTGTTTGGATTGGGACAAAACTAGAAGATGAGCATTTATTTCCCTACTTAACTTTGTGGACAGAATGAGGCTTTTTGGCAGCCTGCACAATGGCAGGTAGCCTGTTAATAATTGACTTTAGTTTTCCCAGGAGCCTGCTACCCTGCAGTAGATCAAGGGGCCAGTAAATTCGGGTGCAGAGAATTTCAAGGTGTATCAAGCACATTCACTGTAAAATATGCATTTTTGACGTAGCTCAGGGCTTTGCACGTCTCCACTTCTGATTTTTTAATGATGTCCCGTATAGCCACGCAGCAGTCAAGAGGCCTTTGCCTCAATTTGCAGTCCTGGGCGCTTCAAGCAAAGCTGTTCAGCAGAGCAGACTTTTGAAGCCCTGTGTTTAATTGACTATGTCTTTCAAGTTTTCAAATGTCACATCATGAAAACTATTATGCTTTTGGACCTCTTATCTTCTACTCATTTTTATTAAATTTCTGTTTCTAGGCAGAAATTCGTACGGATTTTAATATTCTCTACAGTATGATGAAAAAGCATGAAGAATTCCGATGGATGAGACTACGGATCCGGCGAATGGCTGATGCGTGGATCCAGGCAATCAAGTCCTTGGCAGAGAAGCAGAATCTTGAAAAGAGAAAGAGGAAGAAAGTGAGTTTCTGATTAATTCACTTCAGTTGGGTGCCAGTTTTCTTGAAAATTTGATTTTCGTGGAGACAGACTAAGAGAAATGTCATGTCTCAAATGATATTCCCTCAGGGTGAATCTGTGCAGTCTCTTCTTGTACAGCCATTTTTTGGGGCATCCTTTTCCCCGGTTACAGTAATTATACTTAGCAGGAACTGGTACACATGTTTCTTGGGTGAAGCCAGGCAGAATATCTGCTTGTAAGATTTTGCTATGAACCCTCTGACTCTGTGTCAGTGGCATGAGGAAATTTAATTCTCTCTTCTTTACCCTAATACAATCTGGAAGAACTTCCGGTTTACATCATCATGACAATTTCATATTCTTGGTATGTGTCAGCTCTGGGATTTGGGCAACTAACTGGTGAGTTTCATCGCTGTTCTGTTTGGTGGTGCTTCTGCTTATGTTCCTATTAGTTATACATCAAGTGGCCATGACGTTAGATGAACTATTCTGATGAAGAATAAACGAGAAAAGTAAACAATCTGTTCCCATATCTAAAAATAAATGAAAAATGAGTTTAGTATTCCTAATTTGACTAATTTGATACCTTTGGGGCAAAAATACAGATACACTTGCAGAACCCCAAGTCACAGTTTAATGAGTCAGTTTTGCTTAGATCCCTTGAGTTTATGAGACAGCAGGACCAGACATCCTGGCATCAAAGAGTCCTCCAGGAAAGAGTATGTGGTCATAGATCCAGGTGAGCTATGAAAAGAAAGAGTAATTTCTATATAATCCTCTGCAGTTATCTCCGGGATATATTGTTATGTGAAGACATGGTAGGTAGAGAATAGTGAACATTATTTTTAAAAGGAAGAAGGAATTTATCTTTATATCTGTATCTACACCTACATGTGTACCTATAGATATATACATATACACACACATATATACACATATATAATGTATATATGATATACATATATGCTTCTTGCTCAGAGTTTTTAAAATGGAATAGCAAAGCATGCAATTAAAAATAAAGGAGATGGATGGTGGTAATGGTTGCACGACAATGTGAATGTACTTAATGCCACTGAGCTGTACACTTAAAAATGGTTAAAATGGTAAAGCTTATGTTATGTATGTTTTACCACAATAAAAAGATGTCTAATAAGGGGAGTCAGGGGGTAGTGTGGAGGCAACAAGTATAGAAACTAGACTTCTCTGAATATATCTTGCTTTGTAGATTTGACACTGGAATCATTTTACTTAAGTGTAAAACAATTTAATTACAAAACAAAATCATAAGGAAAAAGTAAAGCAAATGAACTGACCACGTGTCCACTTTTACTCTAAGCACACGGAGAAGGGCTATTCTTAGTGACTTCAGAGCACAGTACTTTGAACGTTTCTGATGGGATATCACACATGATAAAAAAAAAACTGCAAAAATATCTTAAAACAATTTTTCTAATCCTGTAAGAGGTGGTGGTGGTGATATTCTCCTTCCGAATCCATTATGTGTCTTGGAATAAAGCAAATCAGCAATTATGTTAGTGTCCTGGAGAAGTGGAATTTTCAATGTGGGAGAGAGGAAGTAACAGATGTGAGATGGATAATGTTATAAAAATTGATAAAGCTGCTGTAATCCTGGGTTTGAATTGGAAAAACCATTGTGAACTCATGATTATTTTTATCCTTGAGGAAAAACAAATTTTCTAGCTATGTCCACTGAAAAGGCCTGTAAACAGTGATCATCTAGAGTATGCTAGGCACCAGACTTTGATCTTTAAATACCGTTTTCACGAAATGGTCTAAAAGGTTCTTGGAAAAATGGCTGATTAAGGCCTGAGACAGACGTTGTACAAGATGAGCCTGGAACGCCTTGTCGTGTCAGAGAGCAAAGAAACTATTGAAGACTACTAGGGTTTTGTCAAAGGACTTAGAAGCCAACTTTAATAGTCTCCCATTGCCCAAGATGGCACAATTTGGTAATCAGTAAGAATAATAACTGCAGTTATTGAAACACATCAAATATACTTATATTCATGATTTTATAATGATATATATATATATTTAAAATCCTCATTGGTCATCATTAGAGTATGCTAAAGATCAAATTAGTTATTTTGAAAACTGTCAAGTAAAAAATCAAGTATTTGCCAGGTTTTTTCTATGTAAGCTGTCCTTCGTGAGGGGTAGTTTCTCTTTATAGAAGTATTGCGGCTAATAAATGCAGAAGGAATGACAGAATATCACCATTTGCAACCCCTAATGGATTATTGCGTCTGGTTAGTGATCCTCAGTAGCTGCTAACATCACAAAACAGAAACACCCAGATTTTGTTCTCACCGCTGGAAGTACACGGCACCACCTGTGAAGTAGTATTGCCCCAAAAATCAAATACAAATTTGATCATGGCTGCAGATCTGATTACTAATTTACCATAAACACAAGGGACAGAAGAATCTGTTACACAGTCAGCAAAATCTAGAGTGTGAGAGACTCTATTGGAAATACAACCCAATTTCTTTGACAAATAAATTACAAGCCTCTATCCCCCCAAAAAGGATAATCGGGCACCACTGTAGGTTAAAGAAGAGATGTATGAGGCATTACAATTTGTGCATTTTATTTGACTTGACTCAACCAACTGCTCTTGACAAAAATAAGTGACAATTGAGCAAGTGTATAGACTAACTGGATATTGGGTAATACTAAGGATTTAATAGCTATGTCAGGGGCGTTGGGGTGATGTTACGGTTATGTTTTTTAAGTGAAAGTTTGTTTCTTTTAGAAATGCCAGCTGAACTATTTACAGGTGAAAAGTTGGGCTGTCTAGGATTTGCTGCAAGATAAGCTAGAGGGGTTGGGAGAAAATGAGGGATGTACATTAAATAAGACTTGTCAGGAGTTAATCATCGTTGAAGTTAATAATTGTTGAGTACAGTGGAATTGACTATATTGTCATGTCAGCTTTTGTTAGTGTTTGAAATTTTCCGTGTTAAAAGCTTAAACGTGTTCCAGCTGTGGAGAAAAAGCCCAGTATAGTTAAAAGATATTTTATCGTCCTGCTTGACTCCCCTTTGATTCCAATTTTCCAAATGTACCCCACTTTTGGAAAACAGGATTATCTGTCCCTACCTTGTACTCATAGCCATACCAAATGCAGTAATGACTTTATTTCTCTAAAACAACAATGAAAAATCATTTCCTTCCTTTCTCTGTACCTTCTAGAAAAATTGTTTACCCCATGTTGAGATTTCATTAGAACGTAAACATGACTTTGGAATTGGTGGTGGCTTTTGGGTAGGATACTGTGGAGTTTGTACTTTTGTCTGACGGGAATCAGTATGTGCCTCTTTTTTTTTTTTTTTTTTTTTTTTCAGGTCCTTGTTCACCTGGGCCTCCTGACTAAGGAATCTGGATTTAAGATTGCAGAGACAGCTTTCAGTGGTGGCCCTCTTGGTGAATTAGTTCAGTGGAGTGATTTAATTACATCTCTGTACTTATTGGGCCATGACATTAGGATTTCAGCTTCACTGGCGGAGCTCAAGGAGTAAGGAGATTATTTTTCAATTTTAAAATCAGAATACAAAAAAGAAATTGTAAACTCTTAAAGCCCTCTCTTGGTGTGTAATTTCTTGTGGAGGAAAATGAAAGTGATAATTCACGAAACAGGAGATAAGAAGATTATTTTCAGAAGCTAAATACATACACTGTGAAAAGGCTAATATGTTTTCATTGTAGCTGCAGGCTCCAGAGGCTTGATAAATGAATGCCAGAAAATTCAAACTAAGGAGCTTATTCTTTGCTGTTACAGGTGCTTCCAGCATCTGCAGCAGGCAACATTATTGACTTTGCTAATTCCCTGTCTCTTGCTGAAACTCATACCCTTCCCCACTCAACAGCAAGCTTTCTAAATCTTCAAACGGGGCAGGTTCCGGTTTGCAATTTAATTTGGATAGAATGAGTTTCTCGAAAGCCCCGATCCAATCCTGTTTCAGTTAGCCCACTTTCAACTCTGCCTGGGTTTTTTGATTTCACTGAAATGTGCTTCTAGCTCAAGCCCTCTCTTAATCCCTTTTAGATTGACACGACTGGCTAAGCAGAAATGCTTAGAGCCCCTTCCCTCCTTTTTGGATAACTGCCCATGGAGACTCTCTACCCAACAGCCAAGTTAACATCTAGCAATATGTCAACTGGTCCAAGAGAAATGGCTTGAAGGGACATTCTAGAAATGGAAGAGGTGTTAAGACAATGTATGTCTCACCCTGCTCCTACTTTATTGTCTAAAACATTGATGCCCAGAGAGGTCACTTGTGTTAAGTCTGAGGTCCACGTCGGATTAGATGCAGTATCGAGATGAAAGCAGTAATGTCCGTAAAATAATGTCAGCTCTCTTTTTGTTAAATGGTTTCCATACACTGAAACCATGAGCCGGGCTTTAGTTACAGTGGTGGTATCAACAGTTACGACAACCATAACAGTGATGATGCCTATTAAGAGCCAACATTTGGGGGTTTTCCCTGGTGGTCCAGTGGGTAAGACTCCACGCTTCCAACGCAGGGGACCCGGCTTCGATCCCTGGTCGGGGAACTAGAACCCGCATGCATGCCGCAACTAAGAGTCTGCATGCCGCAACTAAGGATCCTGCATGCTTCAACGAAGATCCCATGTGCTGCAACTAAGACCCGCAGCAGCCAAAATAAATATTAAAAAAAAAAAAAGCCAACATTTGTTGAGCGCTTCCCGTGCACCAGTTACTAAGTGTTTTACATGTTTTATATTATTTAGTCCTTAGTGCAAACCTGGAAGTAGGCACTGTTGCTTTCTGCATTTTAAAGATGAGGAAACTGAGATTCAGACCAAAAAAGATTTCCTCAAAGTCCCATGGAGAGTACATGGAAGAGCCAGGATTTGAGCCCTCTGTCTGTGTGACCTCAAAGCCTGTGCTCTTGACCACCGGAGCACAGTGCTCCGTTCAGAACTCGATAAACCTGAGGTCTTCTGAGCTCTTCACCACTTTTGTCCCTTTAACAGCTGCCTCCTGTTGCCTTCCTCCCGCTTCTTTTAAAACACACTGGGGAACACAACGTATGAAGTGGGTGCCTTCATACATTGAGCGTTCATTCCTTCTGTGCTCTCTGTGGGCTGCTTCTTGGTATGGGACATACAGAGATGACCAGTGTGTGGCCAAGGAGATGCCAACCTTTTGATAATTACCACTGATACGTTGCACAATGTTGACACTAATTGCAATGGGATTAGTTCTAATTGAGGTGAGGGTGCTCAGCACAGGGAGTGCGGAATCTGTGAATATTGCTCACCACTGTGTATTGAGCACCTAGAACAGTGCCTGGCACACAGTGGGTGCCCATAACTATTTACTGAACAAATGAGTGAAGGGATGAATGAATGAGTCGGGGGTAAAGAAATGGAGTACAATGGGAGCTCTGGGGATAGGCGCTCCCCAGGGAGCTCCGAAACGGCGTATTAGGGATCTACCAGGCAGAAACTTAATTTGCTGGTCAAGAAGATTATGGAGGTCTTTAGGCCCTGGTGACAGGGCCAGATGTGTTTTATTTGAGTAGATACTTGTGGAAGCAACATGGAGCAGTGGTTCCCAAACCTGCCTGCACGTTAGAATCACCTGGGGATCTTTTTAGGCTCCCTAAGCCCAGACCATATCCCAGACTAATTAAATGACAACCTATGGGGGTAGGACTCAGGCATAAGTATCTGTTGGTGCTTCCAGGTAATTCCAAAGTGCAGGCAGGTTTGGGAACCACTGAATACAGGGTGGACCAGGAGTCAGCAACGATGGCTGAGCAGGCCAAATGCAGCCCTGTGCGTTTTTTGTTAATCAAGTATCACGGGCCCAAAGCCACACCCGTGGCTGCTTTCCTTCTCCAAGAGCAGAGCTGAATAGCTGTGACGGAGAATGTGTGGCCTGCAGAGATGCAAGTGTTTACTACCTGGGCCTTTACAGAAAAAATTTTCAAATCGTTGGGAAGAAATTGGTTATATGGAACCTACCTCTTTCAGAAACCCAGTGGAGAAAAGGGTGCCTGGGGCAGTGTCAGTATGGAGCTCTAGGGCAGAGCCCTATTGATGGCTCTTGCCCTTTGGAGCAGGGTGTCCATAATCTGGTGAAGGACTGTTACGGGGTGTGAGCAGGGATACAAAGGCCAATGATGACTGACTTCTGGGTGAATGGCAGTATGGGTAGCACTTATTTGCCCCACCCATGTGAAATTGATGTACAATCAAGCATGTTGGCTCAGTGCAAGGGTGGGTTTGGATGGATGGGTGGGTGGATGGAAGGAAGGATAATGAAAAAGTATAAACTATAGTGCCAGTTCTGTGATACATTCTAGTCAGAAGGAAAAATTAGACATAAAAGAAATTTGCAAACAGTACAGGACAGTACAGAAAGAAGTTTATATTGTAGAGGCTAGAGATGGAAGACATTTAGGAGGTCAGTAAGGGCTGTATGATAAGAACAGTCTCTGGGAGAAACTAATAGGTACTGAGTATCTAGTATGCATAGGTACTTTCCACTGAATACCTAATTTAACTACCTGAAGAATTCCTGAGAGGTTGCTGTCCTACCGTCTTCTCTGTATCCAATCCTGTTTGTGTGTTTGTGTGTGTGTGTGTGTGTGTGTGTGTGTGTGTGTGTGTGTGTGTGTGTTTTAAATGAGGACAGATTCAGAGAAGTTAAGTTACTTTCTAAGATCTCACAGCTGCTAGACAGTGGAGTGTGATTTAATTAGTCTGGGATATGGTCTGGGCTTGGGAAGTTGGAAAAGATCCCCAGGTGATTCTAATGTGCAGGCATGTTTGGGAACCACTGCTTCATGTTGCTTCTGCAATGATCTGTTTAAATAAAACACATCTGGCCCTGTCACCAGTACTTAAAGACCTCCCTAATCTTCTTGACCAGCAAATTAAATGGAGACAGATTGAGACGCAGATCTCCCTTGGTTTCCAAGGCTGTGTTTGTATACAACCATTTGCTTTTGCGAGAGTCAGAATTGAGGCTTTGGATGGACGTGATGAGTGGGCAGAACTTGGATAGGCAGCTGGTTGGGAAAGGCCATGGCATCCTCCCTGATAAGGATTCTTGGGACGTTTATTTACCTATTTAAGTGCAGTACCTTGCAGTAAATTGTATTTATTTTTCCCCTCTCTTCTGTCCTTTCTCTAGAATAATGAAGAAGGTTGTAGGAAACCGATCTGGCTGCCCAACTGTAGGAGACAGAATTGTTGAGCTCATTTATATTGATATTGTAGGACTCGCTCAATTCAAGAAAACTCTTGGACCATCCTGGGTTCATTACCAGTAAGTGCTACATACTGTTCTTAAGTTTTTAGAGCTTTTTATTTCTTTAACAAGGGTTGCATGGTTGCTGGTAGAAAAAGCTTATCAAATATTATCTTTTTTTTCTTTTTTTTAATAATTGTCACTATTTTTAACATCCTTATTGGAGTATAATTGCTTTACAACAGTGTATTAGTTTCTGCTGTATAACAAAGTGAAAGAGCTGTACGTATACATATATCCCCATATCTCCTCCCTCTTGTGTCTCCCTCCCACCCTCCCTGTCCCACCCCTCTAGGCGGTCACAAAGCACGGAGCTGATCCCCCTGTGCTGTGCAGCTGCTTCCCTGTGTAGAGTGTTTCTCATTCCTAATTGAAGTTCAGATTCTCCTCGGTGCCTTTTGACTTTCAAGTGCTATTCATTATTTTCATTGATTTCTTTTAAAAATAGAAAACAAATATCCAACCTCCTTTTTACCTTCCCTAACACTTACCTTGCCTCTGTCAGTCTGTCTACACTAATCTCATCTGTTTAATCAAATAATGATTTTGATAAACTATGGACAGGGTCATTTCTTGTGTTCCTTAGGTTTGAGTTGATGACTTATTTCTCTGTCCCTTTCCCCCATCGGTATTCTTGTCATTCTTAGAAGAGAAATCTGGGCGTAGCTTGTCTGAATGCTGGGGTCTTTTACTTTTAAAGATAAGCCTCGTGCTTAGTATCACCAGAGTGCATGTGTTACTCTGTGTACAGTTTTTATTAGTAGAAGATCTCACTGTTTCCCTCTTGTGGGTTTGAGACCATGGTTTAGTATTTGAAACAGTTTTACATGGAACAACATTGGAAACAATTTTACAAGCATGACACTAAATAACATTGAATTATATAATGAAGTTTTTTAATTTTTTCAATTTCCTTTCAATCTTTCTAAAAAAGGCTTAGTTTGATACTACTGTATCTCCAACACTACTTTTAACACTTGCATGAGAGTAGCTGTAAGTCTCAATGTTCAGCAGGCAAAAAAAATACCTAGTTTGAGTTTAGTAATTCTTATTAAAGAAGAGTAATATGGAGGATTGATCAAGATGGCCCAGTAGGACGGTGTGGGACTCACCTCCCCCTATGTACACATCCAGAATACATCTAACTGTGGAACAATTCTCATTGAAAACCAACTGGAAACTGGCAGAAAGACTCCTGTACCACCAAGACCGTAAGAAAGATTCACATGTAATCGGGTAGGAAGGGAAGAAAAGGGATCAGGTAGGGACCCCTGGGAGGGCACTCAGAGGAAAAGGGAGATTGCACAAGTGGAGACCTGCCCTGGGAAGTGAGCGGTGAGAGCCACAGATTGGGCACCTGAGTCGTGGGGTTATACACAGGGGAAACAAGCCCCCTTTTTAGGTTGGAGGACCACTAGCACCAACAGGACGGCTGTAGAAGGCCTAGACCCTGCTTGTGAGGAGCATGTGTGCCCTGGCTTGCCCCTGAGGCAGGGCAGAGAGGACGGACAGAGGTTTCCTGCAGCTGTCTCAGCACGTGCCAGCCCTAGCCCAGCAAGTGCTCTAGCCCCACTTACTCCATGTCACAAGATGGCACTGGAGCTGGGGTGGCCACAACGAGAGAGGAGACTGTGGGACACAGAGGCGACCTGGTCCCAGGGTGGAGCCTGGGCAGTGGGGGAGGCGGTGGCCATTGTTGGCACTTACTCAAGCAGTGCATCAGAAGCAGCCCAGACCTCTCATGGCAGCCACTCAACCACAACTCACCCTCCGGTACATGCTGAGAGGTCACGCAGGCTCCAACTGCCAAGGGTGCCGCAGCAAGGCAGGAGTGGAGGAGATTGGGGGCAATGAATGACTGTGAGGGGCAAGAGGGTACTTGGACCCAAGGCTGCATCTGAGCAGAGCGAGGGAAACAATTCGCAACATAGAACCACATGGTAATCACAAATCCCAAAGCTACAATAGATACACAAAACGTATAAAGAAAGGAACAGAAGCATACTACTAAAGAAAATCATCAAACCACAAGGGAAGAAACAAAAAGAAGAAATGAACAGAGAACTACAAAAAAAACAACCAGAAAACAAGTAATAAAATGGCAGTAAGTACATATCTATCAATAATTACTTTAAATGTCATTGAACTAAATTTTCCAATCAAAACACATAGGGTGGCTGATTGGATTTAAAAAAGATCTATCTAAATGCTGCCTACAAGATACTCACTTTAAAGCTAAAGACACACACAGACTGAAAGTGAGGGGATGGAAAAAGATATTTCATGCAAACAGAAATGGCAAGAAATTGGGGTAGCAGTATTCATATCAGACAAAATAGACTTTTAAAACAAAGCCTATAATAAAAGAAAAAGAAGAGCATTATATAACGGTAAAGGGATTGATACAAGACGAAGGTAGTACACCGGTTAACATGTATGCATCCAGTACAGGAGCACCCAAGTACATAAAGCAAATACTAACGGACATAAAGGGAGAAGTTGACAATAATAGTAGGGGACTTTAACACCCCATTTACATCAATGGACAGATCAGTAAGGCAACAGTGATCTTAAATGACACAATAGAGCAGTTGGGCTTAATAGATATCTACAGGTCATCACATCTGAAAACAGCAGATTACACATTCTTTTCAAGTGTACATGGAACATCTCCAGGATAAATCACATGCTAGGCCACAAAACAAGTCTCAACAAGTTCAAGAGGATAGAAATTATATCAAGCACTTTTTCTGACCCCAGTGGTATGAAACTAGAAATCAATCGCAGAAAGAAAAATGGGAAAAGAACAAACACATGAGACTAAACAACATGCTACTGAAAAAAACAATGTATCAAAGAAAAAAGAGGAAGTCAGAAAATACCTTGAGACAAATGAAAATGGAAATACAGTCTCTAAAATGTATGGGATGCAGCAAAAGCAGTTTGAAGAGGGAAGTTTATGGTGATATGAGCCTTCCTCAAGGAACAAGAAAATTCTCAAACAACCCCACTTACCACCTAAAAGAATTAGAAAAAGGAGAACAAAGCCCAGTCAGCAGAAGTTGGAAAATAATAAAGATCAGAGAGGAAATAAATAAAAGAGAGACCAAAAAAATAGAAAAGATCAATGAAACCAAGAGCTAGTTTTTTGAAAAGTTAAATAAAATTGATAAACCTTTATCCAGGCTCACCAAGAAGAAAAGAGAGAGGACCCAAATAAACAAAAGAAGAAATAAAAGAGGAGGAATAACCAGTACAGCAGGGATCCAAAAAATCATAAGAGTACTACGGACAGTTAAATGCCAACAAAGTGAACAACCTATAAGAAACGGACACATTTCTAGAAACATACAACACACCAAGACTGAATCAAGAAGAAACAGACCATTTGAACAGACTGATCACTGGTAGTGAAATTGAATTTGGAAAACAAACAAACAAAACTCCCAGCAAACAAAAGTCTAGGACTAGGCAGCCTCACAGGGGAATTCTACCAAACACATAAAGAAAAACTAATACTTACCCTTCTCAAACTATTTCAAAAACAAAATTGAAGAGGAGGGAACACTCCCAAATTCATTCTATAATTCCACCATTACCCTGATACAAAAACCAGAAAAGACACTACAAAAAAAGAAAATCACAGGCCAATACCTTTGATGAATATAGATGCAAAAATCCTCAACAGTATATTAGCAAACCAAATCCAACATTATATAAAAAGAATCATACACCATGATCAAGTGAGATTTATTCCAGGGACACAAGGATGGTTCAATATTCACAAATCATTCAATGTGATATATACCACATTAACAAACAAAAGGATAAAAATCACATCATTATCTCACTAGAAGTAGAAAAAGCAGTTGACAAAACAACATCCATTTATGGTAAAAACACTCATCAAATTGGTTATAGATGTAACATATCTCAGCATAATAAAGGGCATTTATGACAAACCCACAGCTAACATCACACTCAGTGTTGAAAAGGTTTTTACCTTTCCTCTAAATTTAGGAAGAAGACAAGGATGCCCCCTCTCGCCGCTTCAATTTAACGTAGTATTAGAAGTCCTAGCCACAATAGACAAAAAAAAAAAAAAAGAAAAAAGAAAAGCATCCAAACTGGAAGGAAAAAAGTAAAACTGTCACTATTTGCAGATGACATAATACTTTATGTAGAAAATCCTTAAGTCTCCACCAAAAAACTATTAGAGCTAATAAATTCAGAGAAGTTTTAGGATATAATATCAATATACAGAAATCTGTTGCTTTTCTATACATTAATAATGAACTATCAGAAAGAGAAAGTAAAAAAACAATCCTGTTTAAAATCGCTTCAAAAAGTATAAAATTCCTAGGAATAAACTTAACCAAGGAGGTGAAAAACCTATACTCTGAAAACTGTAAAACATTGATGAAGGAAAATGAAGATGATACAAAGAAATGGAAAGATACCCTGCGCTCTTGGATTAGAAGAATTAATATTTTTAATATGGCCATGCCACTCAAAGCAATCTACAGATTTAATGTGATCCCTGTCAAAATACCCGTAACATTTTTCACAGAACTAGAACAAATATTCCTAAAATTTATGTGGAACCACAAAAGAACCTGAATTGCCAAGCAGTCCAAGGAAAAAGAACAAAGCTGGAGGTATTTCGCTTCCTGACTTCATTCAGTCTATACCACGGGTCCCCGACCCCCAGGCTGCGGACCAGTCCTGGTCTGCAACCTGCTAGGAACCAGGCCACACAGCAGGAGGTGAGCGGCAGGCAGGTGAGTGAGTGAAGCTTCATCTGCCACTCCCGTCACTCGCATTACAGCCTGAACCATCCCCATCCCTGATCCGTGGAAAAATTGTCTTCCATGAAACCGGCCCCTGGTGTCAAAAAGGTTGGGGACCACTGGTCTATACTACAAAGCTTTAGTAACCCAAACAGCATGGTGGGAAAGTAAATGGGTATAGCTGCTATGAAAACAGTATGAAGGTTCCTCAAAAACCTAAAAAAGAGC